AAACCCTAAACCCTAAACCATCATGAGGGTTTCAGGTTTAAGGCTGAGGGCCGAGAGCTTCGGGGGTAAATTTCGGGGCCTTAACACTTAGAATAGGGTCTTGGGGTATTTTTTAGGGTTTAGGGTTTAGGGTTTAGGGTCTTGGGGTATAATATACTCTATCTACAGACAGGGTACATTATACTCTATATATCATAAGGAACCCTGAGGAATAATCTTGGTAATTAGTTTGGCTTTTGACATGACTTGAGGCGCTTTGGGAGGCGCTCGGACGTTTAAGCCATAGGGTTTAGGGCTTAGGGTTTAGGGTTTAGGCGGCCCATTGCTACGTGAAAGACGCACACTCGAAAACGAAACCCAGACAGGTCCCTAAACCCTAAACGCTAAACCCTTTCACTGTGGGGCCTGAAGAACAGGGTTTTCCAGTATAGGGCACTAAAGCTGTAATTATATAGACCACAGCGGAAGACTCTCAGAACCCCTATGCTAGAATGGACTACCACGGGTCACGAGTCACGGTTATTCACAATGCTGCAAAAAAAGGGGGCCATGATGCTTAGAACTGAGTTTTAGGCAGTTTTAGGGCACAACATAGCACAAGTAATTATACAGGAACTATATGTAATGGTATAGCGTGGCTCGTTCGTGGAGGCTTGGAGTGGCAATGGTTCAAGCTGTCATGGAGCCTAGCACGAGCCAGCCCGGCTAGAGACCTCCTTGAAACACTTAGTCCGACATCCGGTTTAGGGTTTAGGATTTAGGGGTTTAGGGTTTAGGGTTTAGGGTTTTTATTTTAGGATTTGGGTTTTAGGGGGTTGGGATGTACAGTGAAACATACTCAGTTACACAGTTAAAGATGCAGTCCCCAATTGGCGGGTCTTGGGCGGCGCAACATCCGGAAGGGATTGAGACTGGGATTTGAGGCTTTGTGCAAATAAAACCCATGCTTTAACACCCCGGAATGCAGCCATGCGCTGACCTGGTTTTGAGTTGGAAAAGGCCGGGACAGTACGGAAGTCGCAGGTAGAGGATTTTCAATCAGAGAGCCCCATGTAGAGCCCTTACAGTCCGTTGTCACGGAGCCCAAAGCAATATATGGTCCATATATGCTACAGTCTACGTTGGCCTTAACAGGGGTCCTGTATAGGTAGTTCAGGGTCTACGTATATACTAGAATTATGAGCATATGGACCCTTTCGGGTGCAAGCTGCAGCACTCATGCTCAGCACCCTGAAGCCTTCCCCTCTGCACGAAACACCAACATATCATAAATTGTCTTGTGTGTGTGCGCGCAAGGGACGCATTGCATCCGCAGGGGGTTAGGATTCCAAGCTTAATATAGGGGCCTAGATAATTACCAATACCATTTGGGGAGTTCCTTATTCTAATTATAGTATATTGGGCCCCAAAACCCTATTCTAATCATAAATTACAAGGCCCCTACATTATAGGCGTTACCCAAGGCTGCACCCCAAAGCCTTGACTGCATGTAGTCACCGGTGCAGCCTTGCAATGAAAACTTTCCCTCAGGGTCCATGTGCCCATATAGCCTATGGGAGTTTCCAAAAATTAGGGTACCTTACTTTGGGGGTCCTTATAATAAGGATCCTATTATTTAGGGTGCTATATTCGGGTCCCCTATTTTCGGAAACCCCCCATATACTTAGACCCCAAAGTACCTAAATAGGAACGACATTATAAGGCCAATGTACATTACATACTATATGAGTACATGGACCCTTAGGGTTTTGTCCCACATCGGGAGACATTTATCCTGAATGGCCCTGCGGTGCTTTCTTGTTGACCGGAGCCCATAACCTCAAACTCTGAAATCCAAACCCTCAATCTGAAACCCCGAACCTTAAACCCAACTGTACCCCAACACCCACACCCTGAACCCTTAACCGAAAACCCTACATCCTGAACCCTAAACCCTAAAGTCCCTAAAACCCAACAGTGCTGGACATTCCTGGATCAAGTGTTGCTTCTGACTGAAAGCTCTTGTTGTTAACTTGCCCAAAATTTATAGAAGACAGTAGAAGAAGCAAGAAAGTTGGAACATCATTATCAAATCATCCTCATGCCCTTAAGGTAAAGTATAGGGAATCCCAGCACTTTTCGTCCTGAACCCATGTTCCAGCCTTTTGCGGCCCACGATAGCCTAAACCCTAAACCGGCCGTAAACCCGGTAGATCCAGAAAGCTACTCACATGAGGCCCTCTTGGAACCGTGCGCAACCCTTCATAGGGTTTAGGGTTTAGGGTTGGTGTCGGGGAGGTACTAAACGAGCCTTCACAGTTCGAAAAGGTTGTTGGGTTATGGTACAGTCTAGCTGTACGGGGACTATAAGCGGATTTCATTTCTTCATGTTTCTGCTCCTTCCGACCCCGGAAATATGGTACCCGAAGTCCCGAACCCTGAGCTCGATCCCCTAAAACCGAACACGCTGCAACCCTATGGCACATGAAAGACCCCTAAACCCTAAAGTCTAAACCCTAGAAGCAGCAAAAAGATTATTCTAGCACCCGGTATTCCTCATAGAGGTCTCTAAGACCCCTAAACCCTACAAACCATATAAGCCCCCCCTAACCCTAAACCCTAAACCCTAAACCCTAAACCCCAAGCCCTAGCCTGAAACGCAGGAACCCGCAGCTGCTCACCGTGCGACTCGGGAAGCTTTCCCGAAAGCAGGCCGGACCGCTCCGGGCGTCTGTTAGTGTTTAGGATGTAGGGTTAAGGAATCTAGGGTTTTAGGGTTTAGGATTTAGGATTAAGGGTTTAGGTTTTAGGGTTTAGGGTTTAGGGTTTTAGTGTTTAGGGTTTAGGGTTTAGGATTTAGGATTTAGGAGTTAGGGCTTAGGGTTCCGGTTTCGTTCAAGGCCTCATGTTTTCCTTTAAGGGCCCTTGAAAGAGCCCTGAAAGGATTCCTTATAAGATCCCTTAAAGGATCCCGTAAGGGGCCATAGAAGGGTTCTACAAGGGTATCTGAAGGGTATCGGAGTAGAGGGGTGAGGGCTGCGGATTGGTTGAAGGGGCTCCTTTCTAATAGGAACTCTTCGGATCTACACCAGGATCCGCCTTAAAGGCTAGTATAGGGTTCTAGACTGCTCTAGAATGAGGATACTGTAGGGGTTCTATGATAGGGTCCGAAGAAGGAGTCCTTTAAGAGCTCTATAGGGCCACTACAGGGTTCTACGATTCTACGAACAATGGGTGCGGGTTCCGGACTCGGTTTAAGGAACCCTTTATCTTTTCAAGGCTCTTAAAGTGTATAGTGCTACAGGGTTCTACAAGGCTGGGTGAGGGTTCCGGTTAGGTTCGAGATCCTACAAGCCTTAGCTACGTATTGGCCACTACACCCGGAACCAGGAGTCCTAAGCCCTTATAAACCCTAATCCGTAAGCCAGCCCTGAACCCCAAACCCACTAAAGCCCCTTCACCCCTACAACCCTGTAGCCCTTAATCCCCTAGCACCTGACCCGCAAACCTCGCCTAAACCCTAAACCCGAAACCCAAACCCCAGGTGAAAGGTGCCCTGGACTTGCTCAAAAGCTCCCGCTCCTTACAGCTGGAGGCTCGGTCTTGATGAGGCGTCGGGGTTTAGGGTTAACGGTTTAGGGTTTAGGGTTCAGGGTTTAGGGTTTAGGGGAGTTTGGGAGTTTCCGAAAATAAGGGGTAACTTATATGGGGGGGTCCTTATAATAAGGATCCTACTATTTAGGGTACCATATTAGGGTCCCTTATTTTCGGAAACCCCCGTTTGGGTGTTTAAGGGTTCCTCCAAGCGTCTAGGGCTTTGGGTTCCTAATTAGTTTGGGGTTCCTTTCAGTCTTCCAGTCAGTGTTCCTTCTAAAAGGGTTCCTTCAAGGGTTTAGGGTTTGGGGTTGGCGTTAGGGCGTAAGGTTCCGGATTCTAGGGTTTCCTTTGAGGGTTGCAGGTTTGGGGTGTGGGGTTAGGGTTTAGGGTTTAGGGTTTGGGGTTTAGGGTTTGGGGTTTAGGGTTTGGGGTCCCTTTAAAGTCATGGAGGCTCTGGGGACGTCGGGTATCAGAGGGTATCTTCAGGATGTCTCGAGGGGCACCATTAGCTTGCCTTTGAGGCTATTAGAAGCTTGCCTTTAAGGGTGCTATAAGTTAGGGTTTAGGGTTTAGGATGTAGGGCTATAAGTTAGGGTTTAGGGTTTAGTGTGTAGGGCTATAAGGGTTTCTCTTTCACGAAACCACATGGGGAACACTTGAAGGTTCGATGCGGGTACTACAGGTGTTGAGAATTTGCCGGGAGGCTGAGGAAGCTTGGTAAGAAGGCTTAGGGTACTGAAGTGCGTGGGTTATGTCATGGCAATATATCTATATCTATATGTGTATATATATAATATATATATATATATATCCATAAACCCTAAGCCCGAAACCCTAAACCCTATACGTTCTATAAAGCTTTTGCAGGTGTATGTGTGTGTGTGTGTTCGGGGTTTGCCTCAAAAAAATGGAGAGGATCTCGAGTGCAGTGGTTGAGGGTCTTATGGTTTGGGCACTGAAGCTTGAGGGCTTTAGATTAGGGTCTGAAGTTTAGGGTTTAGGGTTTAGGGTTTAGGGGGGTGTAGCCAAGGGAGAAGGAATATATGCAACCCTAGCTCATCGCCTGAAGCCAAGGCCTTTCAACCCCTTCAGCCCCTATTCCTGAACCCATAACTCATAACCAGCCAAAAATCAAGACCTGAAAAGTGTGTAAGCTCAAAGTTCCAACGGAGCCTGGCTATTCTTCATCCGGATGCTTGTATCATGACGAACTATGTTTTGTTGCTATTGGTGTTCGTTGTTGAAGTTGTTTCTGCATCTTTATCCCTAAGGGTCCAAGTACTCCCTGTTACAGGACTTTGGGTCCATTTTGGGTACCAAAAGCCATAAATAAGGACTACCCTTAGCGTATTGTTACGGATGGTCTTTTGGGACCTAAACCCTAAACCCTAATTAAGCCGTTTTGTGGTAGTGTATATGGACCCTCTGGGTTGCAAGCCAAGGAGCCCAACGTCTTTCACTTGACGGCTGCTGTCTCTGCCTGCGAGAAGTCCTCGAGATGGAGTACCGCGGCTTCTTCTTCTTCTATGGGAGCTTGGGGTCTATAGGGCTTAAAGGGTTTTTAGCCTATGATAGGCTGAAAGGACTCATAGTTTAAGGTTTTTTGGGCCCAAAGACCATACTCTATTTAAGGCTTTTGGGCTAGTTTGAGCCTTAGAGTTTCAGGGTTTCAGAGGCTCAGGGTTTGAGTAGGAGTGTCTACGGGTCGTACAGCATCGACATCGGGTTCAGGCTGACGATCCAGCCAAGGTTGTGTCTTTGCAAGATGGAGCCCCAAACTCCCTAAACCCCTAAACCCTGAACCCCTCAACCCTTCAACCCCTCAACACCTAAACTCCTAAACTCCTAAACTCCTAAACCCCTAAACCCCTAAGCCCTAAACCTCTAAAACAAAAAGAGTCCTTGCAGCCCCAGGTATGGCGTTGGGCTTGATTGTCTCCCTGGCCCCCTGGGAGGCTCGCTGTGGAGGGTTTTTGGGATTTAGGGGGGCTTAGGGTTAGTATTTAGGGTTTAGGGTTTAGGGTGTAAGGCGGTTTAAGGTGTATCATCAAAGGTCTATGATTTAGAGGTTACTCAGTGAATCACTGGCACGAGTTAGTTTTAGACGCCTTTGTCACAGTCATTTCAACGTTTTGAAGCTGCTTATCCGGATTTCGTGAATGCTCTTATGACTTTAGCATGTACAATGTAGACCTCGGAATCTTAAGCCCCTTTTCTGTACGGGCATCGATATGAACAACCCGGTGATAAACCACCCGAGCAGAACTCTTATTCAGACGTGGTGACTGTTGAGGATCCTTAGCACAAGCAAGCATCATATTTAGGGTTGGGGGTTTAGGGTTTAGGGAACTATTGCATTACCGAATGAGATGTCGTTTTCGAAGCTTACATGGACGCTTGTACCCGAAGCACTTCTCATGATCGGGTGAAACCTTGAATAGTGCCTCCTGCTTTGGTTGAGGAGAGTTCCCCGCCATAAGGGTGCTGTAGGGATCGGAATACGAGTACTATCTAGTACCACTATCACCATATATGTGTTGTTGGCCTGATCTGCTGTTAGTCTCCCAAACCAGTGTTCTTACAATCAAGGCCGCTCCAGCAGCACAACGTCCAAAAGCAGCGCTAGAAATCTCATCAACCTGCAAAAGCCTCAAAGGAACCCTCGCAGGAATCTTGTTCTTATTGTCAACGCCCCTGCGTACGCAGATCGGAACGCATTGGGAGTAGACCTCGTCTTTAGGGCCGACACGTGCTGCGAGACAACAGCCTAAACCCTAAACCCTAAACCCTAAGCCCTAAGCCCTAAACCCTAAACCCTAAACCCTAAACCCTAAGCCCTAAGCCCTAAACCCTAAACCCTAAACCCCTAAACCACGTCAGGGGCATCGGGATTTTCAGCCCAAAGGCCTCTACGATTCTGGTTTTCTGATGCAGGGCTTAGTGTTGGGTTTTTTTTTAGGACTGAGGGTTCAGTTCAGAGTTAACCCCCCAGGTACCTACTATATAGGGTACTATAGAGCCCTTAGGGCCCTAGATAGTAGTACCTGAGGGTTCAGTTCAGAGTTTTGAACTTGTGGGGTAGTGTGTCGGCTTGAGGGTTGGTTGTTGGGAGAAGAGCGAAAGCTTCCTCTGCCCCCTTTTTTTCACGCATGCTTAATATATAACCCCCCAAAATAGTATAGGTAAGCAGTAAGGCCCCTATATATATATATATATATACGTATATATAGGGGCCTTCAACTATTTTGGGGGTTCCTTATTCTGATCATAGTATATTGGGCCCCAAAACCCTATTCTAACTATTAAGGCCCCTATATTGGCCCTAAACCCTAAACCCTAAACCCTAAACCCTATTCTAACTATTAAGGCCCCTATATTAGCCCTAAACCCTAAACCCTAAACCCTATTCTAACTATTAGGGCCCCTATATTAGCGGCATCCCAAATCAGAGCTGAGGACTCCGGGCTCGAAAAGATCCCGTGTTCTGGCTGACCCTAACCCTCCAGGTGCCTACCACATAGGGCCCTAGGAGGCTCTAGTACCCTAAACCCTAAACC